CTTCCGCTTGCTGCACAGCCGCTTTCAGCTCCTCATCCTCGATCTCCTGACAAAAAGATATAATTATCGAGAAACATAACGAACGGATCAATCAATTCATATGAAGTTCATGACAAATCAGTCATACGCTATGGAAGCAGCGCCAGTGCACTTTAGATACTCTCCTTTCTCAAACCTCGCCAGTAAGCGTCAAAAAAATATAAAAATTTTAGTGGAAGAAAGTAAAAGGGCAAAAATGACTCCTTACTCAGCCAATGGGCCAGATCTGGCCGTATGGAAGTTACATTTCGTTCCGCAACGCTAAAAATCGCGGCAGAAATGTGCAGGACAATAGCTCTTGATGAACTAGGCGGTTTTTAAATGACAAGGAAATCACTGGAACAACTTGGGGAGCACCATTATCCTTGACTTATGAATTTTGAATAAGCGTGTGCGACGAAATGACACTTAAATCGGAACGAAAGTAAGACATATGTAATCTGATCTGAGGTAAAATCGAAAGTTATATGTATGAAAAATACTTCTCACCACGGCTACACTAAAACTCACCTCGATTCGGATCTCCACTGTGTCATACAAATAAATATTCTTCAACTGCACCGCTCGAGTTTTCTCGGAATTCAAGCACCTAAAGCAAAAATATAGCATGATTTTGAGTCCTGAAGACACCGCGGAAGAATTAACTCAGGCGACCAAAATTCTTTAACGATTTGCACTAAATATTTGAATGCATCAACAAGCAGATAAGCAAACGAGTAAAATCCGATAAGTTGAGCAATTTGTGACAGGCACTGGCGTTAGATAAACTGGTGATATTTTCAAGGAAGAGTATAACCGTACAAGCAACCGTATGCAGTGGAGACCAAAAGACGGATGAAAGCAGATTTGCAGGAGGATCTACTACAAATATCAAAGTCAGGACTCTACTTCTCACTAATGCCGAATACTCTGGAACGATTATCCGGCTATTCTGGCTGAGATGGCTCTGATTTTTTAACGAGGAAACGAGGAAACGAGGAACGAGGAAAAAAAGGAAAAATGGAGCG